GTGTGTGTGTGTGTGTGTGTGTGTGTGTGTGTAGGATTACAGGGAGAGACAGGTGTGTGTATGTGTATAGGATTATAGGGAGAGACAGGTAGGTGTGTGTGTGTGTAGGATGACAGAAAATGGCTGTGCATTGATGGGCACAGGTGGTGGTTCGCAACCTGAGTGGTCTGAGTTTTGCGCCTGCGGGGTGTTTTCTGTAAAAACCCCAGGTTTATTGAAAGTCGGGGCAAATGCCCCTGGCCCAAGCTACCTGAGTCCAAAGTCATACAAAGCGGAGCTTTGAAAGGAGACACTGAGTTCTGGAGAACACAGTCCACATCTGAGATGAGCCGCCCTCAGCTGCCATCCAGACATCACACCCGTCACGCCTGCAGCCTCGTCGCTGAAGCTGGAGTTTGGAAATGAACTGTTGAAATGCAGTCACGTAGATCGCTGGACGGAGGGACCCGGCCCGAGTCACAGCCCCGAGCCCAGAAGAAGCAGACGGCGCCCGGCTGCAAACTGCTCTGCGAAGGATCCCCTTGGAAGGTTCTGGGTGGAGTGAGGGAAAAACGGGAAAGGGGACCCCAAAATCCTGAACGATCAGGCTGACTGGCTGCACAGACTAACAGGACCCCTCAGACTGGTGGGCAGGCTGGACAGTGCCCTTAGCGACGTGCCAGAGCTTTTGAGGAAAGAGGCCAGCCTGGTTGGGAGGCCCAGAAGGCCTTGCTTCTCAGGAAGTGACACGGCGCAAGCCCTGGACAAACAGGAGGCAGCAGCTAGGGCACGGAGTGAGACAAGGAAGGGACTTGGTCTGCGGAAACAGAGCAGAAGTCAGTGTTGTCCCCAGGGCTGAACGGAGCACAAAGGAGGCGGGAGAGGCAAGTCAGGGCAAGGGGAGGGCCTTACTTACATGGGAGCTTTTGCTCTGTCTGGAAAATCCTTGCAGGATTGTGAGGGTGATGGGGTGGCCGCACTTGGACGTTTGCAAGCTCGTGGGATTGTGCGGTTTGGTGGGTGGAGGACGCCATTCCAGGACCTGGTTGAAAATGGTGGCTTGACAGGAGTTGTGGGAGTGGAGGGAGCGGCCTGTGTATTTGGAGAAGGCATAATCGCACGCACTTGGAGTTGAATGAGGGAGGGAGGGAAGGACGTCAGGACTCTCTTTTGAGAAGAGGCAGAGGGGCCACGGTCAAAGTGAGAAAGGACCCATTAGCTTTCTCACAGTGACCTATGCAGTCTGTTGCCTTGATTTCCTCATCTGTAAAATGGGAATAGCCACACCACCAGCCAGGTAAGACCACATGGAGGCCTCTAGGAACCAGAGGGTGCCCAATAGCCACCTGAGACAGGACCCTCTGGTAGCTCACCCAGCGCCACCCACACTCAGCACCTGGCCTGTCCAGCCTCTCCAGTTTGCACCAACTCTCTCCCCAGGTGATCCACACTGGACCTTCCCCACATGGTGCCCTCAGCGTCTTCTCGGAAGCCAGATCAAAATCAACGGGAGCAACAAAATGGGCCCCATCACTTTAGCCCAAAGGAGTGGACGCACCGTGTACCCTCCTCCCAGGGGCCTGGCCTCACCAGGCCAGGAGTCCCACTGGGCGTCACAAGTGCTTTTGTCCTTTGGGGAGCTGGAGGGGTTTGATCAGACAAGAGCTTGCGCCAACCCACTGTCATCCTAGTCATGAGACATGGGCCTGGGTGTCAGCGGGGAGACAAGTTGGCAGCTGGCACAGGCCAGGGTGGCCTCCTGGGGTCACCAGGCCGTCTCCTCATCCATCAGTCACCCTGCCGAGGCACAATGGCCAGGCTGAGGGGAAAGGCCACGGCAAAGAGAAGAGATCCTGAGTTAAACACTGATGATCAGATCCCGCCCCCCCCCAGGGAGGTGGGAAAAGGGACAATAGTCCCCTGGGGGTCACGTGTCCTTGGGGCTGCCACCATGAGCAGAGCTGGGGCCAGAGGCCGGCTGCCACTCAGGGAAGGACGACGCAGCTAGATGCGTCTGTATGGCTTCCTGCTGGCTGAGCAGACGTGGCCTCCCCCTGGTGAAGCACACAGGGAGGAGCGCCGTGGCCCATGCTCCACAGGAGGAAACGGGGTATGTGTTGTGTATGGTGGGGGGGGTGAACCAGCCCAGGAGAACCGCTGCCTTACCCGCAGCAATATGCTGTGTCAGGCCTGCCTCTGGAGGGCTCACTGTGGGAACACACCTCTCAGGACCCAGCCTGGCCTCTGACCTCCGCCTGCCCCCCACCCCCCAGTGCAGGAGGCGGGCAGCCCGTCACCAGTGGAAGCTTCCACCTCTGGGGCAGGCTCCCCATCTTACCAGCTCTCTGGAGCGCAACAAGGGCGCAGGAAACATCACGCGGCACAGGAGGTTCCAAAAATAATAACAACGTTTTATTGTCTTGGAGGCAAACGGGTTTAAAAACTGCATTGTAGTGTCGGTACAGCCGAGCCTAGAGGGTGGTGCCTACGGGAGCCCTTCCCCGGGGGGCTTTCCTTCTCTCGGTTTTAGACCACGAGGTGCAATCGTCTCCTCAAAGGGACCCTGAAAAGAACCAACACTGAGGACAATAGAGGTGAAGCGCTGACCCGATCGATCGCCTGCAGTGGAGCGGGGCCTGGGACACCCGAGTAGGTGAACTATGGAAGCGTCTCCTGGCCTGCACAACTGCAGACCCCTGCCCAGGACCACCAGCTCTCGCTCAGGAGAAGCCTCCCGGTGAGCAGTGCCCAGGGTGAGGCTTGTGGAAACAGGAGGGGACTAGGAGATGGAGCTTCCTGCTGCTACGTAACTGGAAAGGAAACATGAAATGCCATGACATACACACATGCACGCGAGCTTGGGGGCACCCACGCCAACATTCACAGTCCCCCTTTCCTTCTCCAAGGCTGCTTTCACAGGCGACAGCAAGGCAACAGGCCTGTCTGGGAGACCAGGTCGGCCAGGTCTCACAACGGGCAGGTAGCTGGCCCGTCCCTGTCCCCACTCTCTCCCAGGCCTGCCCAGCAGAGGCTCATGGGAAGTTCAAACACTTCTCCCAAGTTTCTGGGCACCCTGCTCTGCTTCCTAGGGTCTCTAGGGCTCGCTCAGATGACAGAAGCCCCACCGGCAGATCAAAGCATCCACAGCATGAGCACATGGGCCACTGAGCTTCCCATCCCTCCAGCCTGTGCCCTCCACAGGCACGGGTTCACCCCTTTAGTGACCTCCATGGGCCAGGGCCCACAGCATGCCTCACAAGCACACCCCCCTGCCCTGCCAGCTCCCCCCTGGGACGAGCCTCGTCAACAGCATGGAGGCAGGCATCCATCAAGGGGAAGACCATCTCCCCCCCAAGCAGCCCAGCTCCCTCAGGTAAAGGCCACCAGAAAGGGGTGACAACAGGAGAAAGGGGCTTCTGAAGCACAGGAAGGGTGGGCAGAATGACACCCCAGTACCCACCTCCTCATACAACCATGGACTTCTGATGGGGCCCGAGAATTCATGCTCCCCCAGATGTTGCTGAGGGTGCAGGAGCCCCCATCCAGAGAGGAATGGGTGCCCTGGACACTGGGAACTGGTGCCCATCTGTGGGCAGGGAGCTCAAGCGTGGAGTTCCTCAGCAGACTCCCCTCCCCTGCCTGGGCTGTCCGCGGCTCCCCCGCCCCCCGCCCAGGCTTTCAGGAGCCCTGTGCGCCCAAGACCCCCGGGGACACTATGAGCTGGAGCAGAAAGTCCTACGAACTGACCTGCAGACATGGGTGTATGGACTAGGTCACAGGCAGACCTTCTGTGGACACCGTGGCTCCATCAACATCTGCGACAGTCCCTGCACTTCCTGCCATCACGAGGGTGCAGAGACCCCCTGTAGAAAGCGTGCTTCCTTCCCTTTCCGTTGGGTGTGCTTAGTTTACAAACGTCAGCACTTAAATGTTTCACTATGGGCGCAGCGACCGGAATGGGGGGGAAGGGAGTGTAAACAGCGTGGCCCCGCCCCCTGCCCATGCCCTACAGTGGAAATCGAGGTCAGAGTCATGGGCAAGGGAACTCCAGGGACAAGAGCCAGAAGGCTGTGTAGCAGGAGAGCTGGCTTTGTGGGCCACCGGCCCCCGGCCAGCACCAGCACCAGCACCGCGCCGCTTCCAGGGCTGGCCGGGACGCGCCCGCACTCGCCTCGAAGGGTCAGCGGACGTGGAATCTGGACGGGAGTCGGCAGGAGAGGTAGCTAGCAAGGCAGAGGCCCATCTTCTAAGCTCGGAGTTTGGGGTGGGGACAGTGACTGCGTGGAGGCCAGTGGGCGTCTCTCAGAAGAGTGCGTGGGGCTCAGGGCCCGCTGAGCCCCCGGGGGGCCCTCACAGCTGGGTGCTGCCTGTGTTTCCCTTTGACCTTTGGGAGACTCTCGCCATGGTAGTCTTCACCTTTTCCTGGGGTGGACGGTGACGTCTGCTGCAATTGCCCAGTAAACTGTCTGGGGCTCAGTCCTCACTCAGGAAGGTTCTGGAAGCCTGCAGAGGTGGTACTCCTCGCTGCTCTCTCAGGCTGGGCTGAGTGCAAACAGGAGCGGTAAGCACAGGAAACCCTTCCTCTCTGCTCCTGAGCCCAAACAAGAGGCTCTGCTCTCTGAGCTGCAGACTGGGGGGGGGGGGGCAGGACTCGGACCCTCTGAACTTGAGGCAGCCTGCCGGGAGCAGACCCCTGCTCAGGCAACACCAGATGGACTGGCCTCGGCGGTGGCAGGTGCAGGCTGCTGCCCAGAGCGCTTCCAGAGAGGTGCCCTTCTGCGCAGAGAGGATGGTGGGACAGTCCCTGCAGTGTCCTCAGCCAGGGTCTGCATGGAGTAGCTCTGTTGGCGACGTCTGAGTCTGACATGCGATCCTGAGAGAAGTTGGCTCCTCAGAGTGCTGCCTGTCCAGGTTACATTTCTCACTTCACACAACACAGGTGGATGGTGATATCTTTGGTCCAGCTGCATAGTGGCAGAAGCGAGAGGGGGCGTCCTCAGCTGCAGGCCGAGGGAGAGCAGTGTGGAGCGGAGAGCTGTCCACGAGGTGGCCCTGAGAGGGTGCGGGGGCTCCCCCAGCTCTGCCGAGGGGGCTGGAGGAACGAGACCCCGCCAGCAGGCCCAGCACCCAGGTATCCTGGTGAGGGCAGCATGCCCGCCTGAGTGCTCTCTGCCCAGGGCTCTGACGAAGGCACGCCCTAGCAGCCCACCACGCCCAAGCCAAGTCCAGATCTAGTGACAAGGTCCAGCCTCTGATGGCAGCTGAGCCGGACCAGAGACGGGCAGGAAGCCCTCGAGAACTGAGCCTCCACCGGGCAGGGGGAGAGCAGCAGCGTCGGGGCAGGGCTGGAGGGGGCAGGCCTGTCCCTGTCTGGGCTCCCTGAGGGCAGAGGGGACTGGTGAGAGTTCACAGCAAAGGGCCCTGAGCTGGAACGTGGCTGTCGGCCGGACCACACCTGCTGCAGGACGGCCTAGGAGACCGTCAGAGCAGAAGGGGTCCTGAGGCTCTGTGTCAGGTAGAGCTGGGGGCACAGCCCCTCCCCCGGGCATCTCAGGCAGCGCGTGCCAACTGAGCACTAGGCCTCGCCTGCCCTCTTGCTGAGTGTGGTGACGGCCTTCGATGCCTGCTCGGGCAGCCGGGCCGGGTCTGTCAGGACGGAGGTGGTGGTGCTCAGGTGGCGGAGGGTGGTCAGCACCACTGCAAGACAGGAGGGAGGGAGGAGCCGTCCCTGCACATGCGCCGGCAAGCCCCAGGGTCTGCTCGTAGCACATGCGTAGACACACACACACACTGCTCTTGGCCGCAGGGGTTCCAACTGCCCATCTGAGTACTCCACGCTGCTTGTAGCCCGCTCCTCTACTCTGGCCGGGTGGCAGCCCCATTGTCTCATGCTCGCCCCTGGACCTGACATGCCGCCCCTGGAGCCTCTGTCTGGAGTCCCTGGGGAGCAGAAACTTAATCTGCTTGGCTGCTAACCGGAGGCTGAAGGCTCACAGGAGGCTTGGTGATCTCTTTCTGAGACAAGAGCCGCTGTGAAGTGGTACACAGTTTAGCTCCGCCTTGCCACCTGGGGAGTGGCCATGAACTGGAATCAGCTCTATGACAGCTGTTAAAGCCACAGCAGGTGGAGACAGTTCAGCCATCCCAAGAAGACAACATTCCTGAAAGTACCCGGCCCAAGCCCCAAACCCAGTGCCGCTGTGTTGATGCAGACGCATGCCCCTGCAGCTCAAAGCACACCGCCCAACAGGGCCCCAAGGCTGCCATCTGTACACACGCAGATGGTCAGCTCTTCCTCCCGAGGGGGGCTGGTGGGTGTGAACCCCTTTCCCTTCCCAGCCAAGGGCTTCAGCTGCTGCGTCAACAGGCTGCCCGTCGAGACACAGGGCCTGGCCAGTCGCAGGTGCTGGCTTTGGGGCTGGATTGGCTGCGCACGTCTCCTCCCAGGGACCTTTCTTTCCACCCCAGGCTTCCAGCGCCCCTACTCACTGGGCCGGAGTACGGGCAGCGAGCAGCGCTGGTCGAGCCAGGAGAGCGCGGTGCGGTGCAGCTCCTCTGGGCTGCTGGTGGACACCATGCCCTTGAAGGACTCAAAGAGTGGCTGCAGGATGCTGCTGAACTGCACAGCGCGGGGTCAAGGACAAATCTGAGCAGGGAGCATGGTCCTTCCACTTGGGACTGGCTGCTAACTATCCACAAACACTTGAGAAACCTTGAGGGGGCATGCGCACTGAACACGTGGCTATGTGTTTGTGCCTGAGGGCCTGAGCCCGAGCAGGCCAGGCGCAGGCTGGGGGAGGTCCTGGCAGGGCTGGGCACACACAGGTGTGTCTGTGTCTCCTGTGAAGAGTGGGCACTGGGGCCAGTGGCTGTCACTCTGTCCTCAAGTCACCCACCAGCATGGAAACACAGCCCAGCGGCCTTGCCACCATCGATGGCTCTGCCCGCTCCCACAGCTGTGCTCTGACCATCAGCCCTAAAGGCCCCCAAGGGGCAGCCTACCTCCCCAGAATGCAGCGCTGCGAGCGGGTAGCATGGCAGGAGAGCCGCCCCTGCCAGGAACCTCGCTTGCCATCAAAAGTGGGATGCAAGGTGAATGACCTCAACTGCCAGAGATGGCGTGAGGGAGCGGGGTCCACACCTGGTTGTCTTCTCCTGGGCCCTGCCTGTCTCAGAGGGTGCCTTATGCCCCCCTGTGCCAGCACCATGAGCCCCCGAGGTACTGCCTGTGGGTTTGAGGGGGTCCCTCGAGCTTCTCGCTCTGCTGCCCCGAAGTGGCCGAGCACTGACCTTCCGGCTCACGACCTGACTTGGCCTCCAACCCTTCCTGCCCAGCGGCCCCCAAGGGCCATCTTCCCACAGAGCAGGTGGTCATGCCTGCTTCCCGCTGCCCTGGCTGGGGCAGAGGGAAGCACACCAACCAAAGATACGATCCAGAACTTCCAATTCTGCAGCGTCCGGCTCTTCACATACTCCTCAAACATGTCTCTCATGTGATCAAACTGGCGCCGGGTGACAGGGACCCCTGTGGCAGGAAGCAGCTGCTGGCAGGAGCTGCAACACAAGGGCAGCTTTGGAGCAGCGGGGGCGGGGTAGGGCCTCAGGGGCAGGAAGGGCGGCAGGGGCGGCCCAGCCTCACATGATGGTGGCGTTGAGGGCCTCGACCTCCTCTCGCAGCTGCCGGGCCTCCTCCTGCAGCTGGGCCCGCTCCTGCTGCAGCTTGGTGATGTACTCCACTGTCTTCTGCAGGGTGATGGCATGGCTGGTCTGCAGGGTGGGGGGTGGTGGAAGGGATCAGAGTGGAGGCACAGGAAGGAGCCATGGCCCCGGCCCTGGCCCCCACGCGCTCTGTCGGCTCACCAGCTTGGAGCTGTTGGAGATCATGCTGTTGAGGGTGTTGAACCCAATCTTGATGTTGAAGCGCCTCTTCTGCTCGGCGGAGATGTGCTTCATTTGCCGGGTCTGCCGGGACACGGCTGTCACTGGCCGCACCGGAGACCAGGCCACAGAGGGGCATGGCTGGAGGGACGTCACAAAGAGCCTAGGGGCTCCTGTGAAGGGCCATGTGGGGCAAGACCAGGGACAGGGGCACCACCACGGCCAAGCGGAACTGGCATGCCAGTACGTGGCCATGGTGCCCACGTGCTGAGGGGCTTCTGATGTCATGTCCGACCCCCGCTCTGGGCCCCGCTGTCTGGATGCTGGCCCCCAGGAACAGTGGGCGGTGGTGCTGGGGGCCAGGCTAGAGTCCAGACAGTGGTCTCCACCAGTGGGGAGACAGTTCTGGGGTGGGGGCGGGGGACGTGGGGGCTACTGGGGCTGCCAATTACAGCAGCCCCTCCAATGTGTGTGGCGCCCCAGGCTGGGGCAGCTCCCCTTCCCGGCGTGCTGGGGGGTACCGTATGCAGACACTCGCTCAGGGAGCCTTCTCCCAGGTCCTCACCCCCCACCCCCCAGGGAACTGGGCATGGGCTACCTTTAACACCACGTTTTTGGGGTCTGCCGAGTTCCCTGAGCAGCTGTTCTGGGGAGACTGGGGGCTGGGGCTCTGTTCAGAGGTACACGGAGAGGCCTGCCCGGAGCTGGGGCCATCACGGCCTGAGGAGGAGAGAGGAAACCCCACTGTCCACATGGACTCTTGGCTCCCTTCGGGACCAGAACTGGCAGTTCAGCACCACTCCACTCCCATCTGCCCGGGAACTCACTGCCCATCCCGAGGCCTGGGGTCCTGCAAAGGATCCCACCTTGGACCCCTGCCCCTGCCTCCCGGGACCACTCCATGCTATGACACTGGAGTGGACACTCACTGGGACCTGCGGTGGAGAGCGGGGTGCCCCCCCCATGTAGGAGGCCCTGTTCGCCCTTCGAAAGGGTGTCTGGCATGGCGCTTGGGGAGAAGAGCCCAGACGGCTGGCTGCCCGGGGTGTGGCCAAGCTCTGCCACCAAGATGCCACTTCGGAACTCCCTGACTCCGGGAGCCTGCAGAAACGGAGAACAATCACTGGCACAGACAGAGGAGGGCAGGGCCAGCTGCGTGACCAGCACACAGGCTCTGCTCAGGGCTCCAGGCCCCCCCACGACAGGCCAGCCCGCAGCCTCACCCTGGCAATGGCAGCAGGTGCGATGACCACACTGGACTGGGACACGCTGGAGGCCAGCATCCCTTCCCTCTTCAGGGGGCCCGACGTCATGATCATGGCTTGTGGCTGACCTGGAAAGGCCGCTGACAGTGCAGGGGGGCATGAGGGCCCAGGCCAAACGGCAGGACCGCCAGGAACACACGAGCCCTCCTGCCAGCGACAAAGCCACCGGAGCAGCAAGGACACTGCAGTGTGTGCCCGCGGGGAGCGATGCAGGCCGGGACTCACCTGGGGTGATGCAGGCGCTCTTCAACACCAAGGACACGGGCTCCGGTTTGGGAGCAGGCACTATTTTGGGGGGCTGCTTGGGCCTCCCCCCAGTCAAGGATATAGGTTTAGGGGACACGAAAGTCAAGCGTGGTTGGGGCGTGCCAGCCTCTGGGGGCCGGATGACAGGCGGCAACGCCAGGCCACAGGGGGAGGCAGCGGGGCTGGGGGGGCAGGTGGTGATCACCAGGCCTTGGCTCTGGCTGAAGGTGGTGGCAGAGGCGTCGTGGGTGAGAGTGGCAGAGGCCGTGTGGGTGATAACAGAGAGGGGCTTGCTGGCTCCAAACTTCTGTGTGTGCAGGAAGGTGGAGGGTGCTGGGGGGCTCAGCACAGTGGTGGGAGGAGGACCCAGGGGCAACCCTGGGGAGGCTGGCGGGGCAGGACTAGGAGAGAGGAGGGGCATGGTGAAGACAGGGAGGTAGGGCTGTGAAACATTCAGCGGGGGCTCTGAGGGGCCAAAGTCTGCGGGCTGGACGAAGGGGCTCCCCGTGGGGGGCCTGAGGTCACCGCTCTGCTGCTCTGAGGGGCCCAGCGAGGCGGCGGCTGGGGATGCAGGGAAGCTGTCTGTGAGGCTCACAGTGGGGAGGGCAGGTGTGGGCAGGATGTCTTCCTGAGGTGAGGAGAGGGACAGGGGCTGGGGTCAGGCACGTCTTCTGCTCTCTGGGGCTTTAAACCACCCCTACCCATGGGCGCCAGGAGCCGGGACGAACCCTGCCACTAGGCTCCCTGGGGGCCCACGGGTTCTGTTTCCATCAGGAACCGACCACCGACTGGCTCCCACTCGGCCCGGCCCCACAGCTGGATACCGGCTGGCACTATCTGGCTTCTCAGGTCTCCTGGGCCCCTGCCATCTTCCATTACAGGGCAGAAACAGGCTGGTCGACAGCTGCTCTTGGGGCCCCAGGACAGCTCATGTGTCAGCCTTCTCCTCCTCGGAGAGGCAACCCAAGATCGACTGTCCACAGAGCCAGGTGCAGGACAGCAGTGCTGGGTTACTGGGGCCTCCAGGGCACCCTGCCTCACTCAGCCTTGCAGCCCAAGGGCCTGGGAACCAACCACCACTGAGGGCAGAATGGAAAGGGCAAAGAAATGCACAGAGACTGTTTCTACAGACGGTCAGCGTTTCTCTCTGGCCAGGATGCCCCATCTGAGCCGGTGTGCGCAGAGCTGGCGCAGGCACTTCCTGACACACCCTCGCAGACACGACACAGAATCAGGACGACAACGAGCCTCATACCTGGGCTGGGGGGCTGCTGGGATCAGGGGCCGGGGGTGGGCCAGGGGCGGGCAGCAAGGAGCCAAAGATGGAGCGGCTGGATGAAAAGAGGTCTGAAAGACAAGTCAGGCCTGTGAGCTCCTCATCCTCCTGAGGCCCCACCTGACCCACAGGAGAGGGCACGCTGCAGCCCTCGGTCAGCACCAGCCAGCCTGGGCTCCGACAGGCTCCCAGGCCCAAACACACAACCAGCCCTAAACCAACTAACTGCCGGGGAGTCGACTCGGAATCATAGTGAATCTTTCAAGTCATACCTATAGAGCAAGTGCAACTATTGCCCCTGAAGGGCTCAGAGACTGTAACTCGCTCTCCCCTAGAGTGGCTTGTGGCTGTGAACTGCTGACCTTGCGGTGAGCACCCCAGCCTGTTGCCACTATGCACCAGGACACGTGTGTCGGGAGAAGGGTAGGGCGGCAGCTGTGCCTTCAGCGCCCCCTGCTGCTCACAGGGGAAACTGCTTGCCCAGGGCCAACCGAGTCAGGCTGGGACAGATCAGGGACTGCATCAGAGCAACAACAGGCTCACACTGAACCACTGTCAGCTTGCTCACAGCGGCCCTGGTCCAGTGTCCCAGAGAAACGTGGGGGCCGTGTAGCGACTATGGATGGGGAGCCCTGGGCCGGTCCTGGCCCCATAGCTCACCTGGGAAGGGCTCGAAGGTGTCCATGAAGTCCAGGTTGGGCTGCAGCGGCATCAGCCCCGGCTGGATCATGTCCGCGTTCCCCAGGTGCGCTGTGGGGCAGACGGGATGGGGTCAGTCCCTCCTTGAGCCACAGCAGAGCCCTGCTCACACTCTGCACAGGGAGCCCATGGGGGCTCTACCTTGGGCAGCTTTGTGGTAGCCTTGCCCTGCCCCCTGAAGGCAGGAGAGAAAGGTCACTGGCGGTTCAGGAACTGGAACCCTCCAAGACATGTGGTCACTACACGGCCTCCCTGGGGCCTCCCTCAGAAACTCAGGAAGCGGGCTTCTCTCCTTAGGCACCCAACATAGCAGAGCCAGAGCCACACAGTGGCTGTCCCAGAGGGACTCTGCTGGCAGGCCCCACCCACCAGGGGCACTCAGGCTCATGTCCCACAGGTCTGGCCGCCCCATGCCCCATCCCCCATCCCCCCTCGCACACTGGCTCGAAGCACTCAGCAGCAGGCCTGGGGGCAGTCACTGACCTATCTCCCGGGGGTTGGGCCAGGCAGCCGGCTGGTGTGAAGAGAGCGTGGAGAAGAGGGTGTCGCTGAACTCGGACATGAGCATGTCTGTGTCCAGCAGGGGCTCCTCCTCCATGGGGACCGGGCTCTTCCAGCCATCGCCGTGCTTGTGCCAATAGAGCATGTCCTCATACTGCTTCGGGGGCGGGGAGGGGGAGAGAAAGAGGGCAACATGGGCCTCTGGGGTCCCAGGCCCATGGCACTTGGGCAGGGGTGGAGGGAGCAGCCTTCAGCCCAGCTCTTTGGAAGCTGAGGACTGGGGTGTCCAGGGCTTTCACAGGCCCTCCCAGAGGAAAGGTGCAGCCCCTTCTCTGGCCTGAGGCAGAGTCCAGGGCCCTCCCTCTGCTACCCCACCCCCAGCAGGGCTTCTCCAACCTGGGGGGGCTCACCCACCTGGGCGAGGCTGGACAGGTCCTCATCCTTGTGCTGCTGTAGCTGGAGGGAAGGAGAGCAACAAAGGGTCCCTCAGGCCCTGGAGGGCGGGGGTGGGGGTCAGGTCCTCAGCCACACCCCTCAAGGAGCAAGGGAGCTGCCTGCACAACCCGCAACAACAAGGGTGGTAGCCGAAGCCTGCAGCCCAGGCCCGGGAAGTGCCCAATGGCTCCAGCCCACAGCGGGAGGCCGAGGACAAGGGTGTGTGGCTGCAGTGGGCCCCATGGGCCATCCAGGCCCGGTCTTGCCCTCCCCTACAGGGCAGCAGCAGATACCCTCTTCTTGAAGTAGGTTCTCCACTTGTGATATTCTCTGATGACGATCTCAATGCGGCTTTTCCAGTACTTCCCTTCAGTGCTGATGGCCTGTCAGAGACAGAGCAGTGGGTGAGGGGGCCAGCGAGTCTGACAGCAGGCCCCCTGATGTTACAAAGCACAGCCTGCACATCTGTACCACAGCTGGCCCCCACCAGAGCCTGCACCCTCACGTAGAAACCTGAGGTCTCCCAGCGCCTGGGCGGGTGGGCCACCCTAGGAAGCTGGATGCCTGGGCGGGAAGCAGGGCTACCCCACCCCTGCCCTAGAGAGCCTGACTTGCAGCCAGCCACTTTCCCACTGCCAAGGGGCAAAGACTAACAGTCAATCAGTCCCACATCTGTCCGCTCTGGACCATGGCAGGCATAAACTGCCTCCATCCCCCATTACTGGCAGCCCATGGGCATCAGCAGAGAGCTGGGCTGGTGTTTCAAAAGCAGGCCCCCACAACGTCTGTCCTAGATGGGACTGAGTGGATCTGAACCACCAGCTAAGTTCCTTTCCAGCCTGCCTCTTTGGACGGGGGCCTGTCAGGTCACAGGGATGTGCTTCAGCGAAGGGAGACCCTGCTTCCGGACCTGAGGGCATGATGTGCCTCAGCACTGCCAATGCTGACCATGACCCACTGACCCAAAATGGCCTTTTGTTAGAGGCTGTTTCCTAAACAGGGTATTTTTTCCCCCTTGTATCATAAAAGTGAGACACACCTGAACAAAATTTTAACAGTAAGGGAGCACCCCTCTTCGGGGACCCTACTTAGCCCTAATTCCCCAGAGAATCCTGCTACTTTACTTCCGGGTGCTCTTCCAGGCCCCTCCTACGCATGTGTGTGCACCCCGGCCGGCATCGCTTGAAGTGAGTGCGGAGAGATGGGGGGGTCTCTGCTTCCCAGTCACTCTCCTCAATGGGCTTCTCTCTCACTGTGAGAGGATCGATCGCAAGACCTCCAAAAATGTGTGCCTTGGTAAGAACACGGCAGTACGTGCACTGAAATACTGGAACCACAGAGAAGGGTGACATGCACATTCGTGAAGCAGTCCACAATTTCACGTGAACGAGTACAAGGAAGAACATGCCCTAAAATTGATTGTGGTAATGATTGTGCAACTTTTCTTGATATGATTGAACTATTGAATTGTGTGTTATGGGGATGAAGTGCCAATAAATCTGTTAACAAACAAGCAAACAAACAAACACATGCCTTGCAATGAGCCAAAGGCCTCCCTGATGCCCAGAGGCAATGCTGACACGACCCAGGAGAGGCTAGGCTCAGCAGGGTGGGCGGGCTGAAGAGCACCCTGTTCGAGACCCCCTCACAGCGCCCAGCACGCCTGCCTCCCTCCCTCTCTGCATCTTCCTGGAACAAGAGGGACCTCTGAGCACCCCTCCGCCCCTTCCCTGTACCTCTGGTCGGCGATGCTCATCGACATCCACCGAGCCGTCAAGGGGAGTGACAAAGTGGCACACGGGGTTCTTGCGTTTCTCCAAATCTGGGTGGAGAATGGGCAGGACAGTCACTATAGCCAGGAGCCCTGGAGGGGCACGCTCCCGACCGACCTCACCCATTCACTTGGGGATGCCACAGGCCAGGCTAGAGGGCAGGCGTCCAAGTGGCCAAGGCGTACACACCCAGCATCACCACACCCGCTGGATCTGAGGAAGTGCTGTGCCTGCTTCTCGGCCCCCTGCTCCCAGACCCTGCCAGGGCCCCCTCTCTGCCACAGCCTTCCCAACACCCTCCTCCTCTGCCACAGCCCTGGGCCCACTGGGGCACTTACACTGCATGTACCACGCCCGCCAGATGGCGTTATTGAGCCGGATCTTGTCCCGCCACTGGAGCTTCAGGCCTTTGAAATTCTTCCACTTCGGAGACACCAGCTTCCCACTGAAAGGCAAGACGGAGAATTTGAGACCCTCGGTGGTTCCTGTTCAAGAACTTTCAAATCAAGTCAGTGTCCCCAAATCCCAGGCCTGGATGAGTGCCAGGCTTTGGGATCCTACCAACATGAGCTGGGGCACGAAGTGGACAGTCCAGGACTGGCCGTGGGCCGACAGCTGGTGGCACACAGGTGGGAATGGACTGTCGACGTCAGCAAAGATAAACAGAAACCTCAACCACAGAATAACCAGCTGGTCCTGGCCCCCCTCCTCTGCCAGTCCCCCAGAGGTACCCAGAATGCAGGGACATCTGCACCAGGGAGGCCCTCCATGCCCCTTGGCCTCTGCACATGGCCCCCAGTTCAAGTGCTATCACTGGAGTGACCCATGAGGACCCGCTCGGGGCACATCAGGGCTCCAGGCCAGCTCTCTGAGCTCTCCAGGAACGACTGTGGGTGTCACCATGTCCTGTGCAGGGAGTCAGACCCTGGCCTGCAGCGGGCTCCTTCCACTCTCCAGAGGTTGGGGGGAGGGCCACTGCAAAGGCAGTCAGCAGCGGTCTTCTTGGGGCTTCTTCTCCTGACACCAGCCAGTGTGGCCCTGAGAGGGGCATGGCACAGTTTGGGGTTTCTACTGATGGGTGCTCTCTGTGACACAGCCTTGCTCCTGCTGCAGACCCACTGGGGACAGCCTGTGGACAGGCGCAGGAGCCACAGGCTTCTCCCTGCATGCAGCCCACCCAGCCCCCCTGGAAGGCAATGTGAACCAGACCAGGCCAAGGATCAACCTCTGGGGCAGGAGGGTCAGACAAACCACCGCTGCCCTTCCTTGCCCAAAAGGCCAGGGGTCCCAGGAGAGTGCACACACACCCCTTCTCAGCAGGCCTGCTCCTCCCTGTTGGCATCGGCTGTGTCCTGCCCTGGATACCAGCCAGCAATGGGAGCTCTTGAGCTACCCCTCCTACCTGCATGGCTACCACGCTGGCTAGCCACTTCACTTTTCTGGTGCTCAGAATGCCAGCCCCACACCCAGAGAGTTTTAATAAGGATTAAATGACTATGTACACACATGTGATAAACCCAAGAGCAAGACAGAACAGTAAGATATTCATGCACCTTAATCATCTACTGGGATTGACCTTCTTCCCAAGAGGCCTGATGTTGAAAAATGTCCCCTGGCCATGAAGTCTCATCCTTTCTACTCTGCTGTGGGCCTGTGGCCCCCCTTCCCCACAGGGGTCGCCCCCTCCCATCCCGGTGCCAAGAGCCCAGCCGGCTCCTCCGCTCCAAGTTCCAGCAGAGCACTGAGGGCTGAAAACACCACAGCGTCAGAGTGGCAGAGAAAAGGAGCCAAGAACGGACACCGTCCAGGAAATACACATGCTTCCTCAGCAGTCAAAGAGCACTCCACCTCCCTCAGCCACCACAATGGAACTCAAACTAATGGGCGAGCCTTGCCACCTCTCAGAATAGGGAGGGGACCCCCTCCCTAGCTGGTGAGGGGACCAGGACGGGGATGCCCCCAGAAGGGGATGTCCGGGACCACTGGAACGGCAGGGTCAGCCAGTGGCCCTCTCCACAGAGTAAGCTGGCAGTGACCAGAAAGTAACACAGTGAGAGATACACCTGCCCAGGAAGTTCTACTGCGAAGACTTGATCCTATAGACAGGCCCACACATGTCTAAAGTACAAGGGGGCTTCCTGTGCTAGCCATGTCCAAGGATGATGACTGCAGCATTGTTGACAGTAATAAAAGGCTGGAAACCCCCTACACATGCAGGAAACAGCTGGTTACAGACCTACATCCCACCACATACAATAGCAGCCTTGTGACTGACAGACTGAGGAAACCAAGAGCTGCCGGGGGGTTCTTTGGGGATGACAACATGCTTTCCATTTGGAAAATGGTGATGGCTGCACAACGCGGGGGAGAACACCAACTTCTGTACCAGACTCTTTCCAAGAACGACACCTTCGCTAACAAAGAAACCAGAATGGGACAGGTTGGCGTGTCTAAATCCACCTCAGAGCAATTGCAGGATCAGAAAACCCAAGTGCAAACAGAGAGACTGTGTACACGGCGCTCCCGCTCACCACGGCGCTATCTGGAAGAAAGAGTAACAAACCAGCAACAATAGGTGCAGGAGCCTGGAGCCAAACAGGAGAGGAAATCTCATCTTTCACAGCATACCCGGTCCGCCCGGATCACCACGGTGGAGTTCCCCAGACTGGGTCATCATGGGACCATCGGCGGTATGTGAAAATGGAGGGTGACCACCCTGTCGTTACACAGCTGCCAAGCCACTGATAATCGTGGCCCAGCCACATTCCCACGCACCCTCGGCCAGCACAAAATCAGCGTTCCCCTGGCCTCGCACCTTGGCATCTGTTACTTCCAGACACGTCATCAATGAGCAAAGGAGCGGAGTAGGGTTTTTACTGTTGGCGTAAACAAGAAATGACAGATAATCAAACCATTGACAAGCTTTTGATATTTCAGTTTCTGTGGCTTCAAAAAATAAGGTAAACAACAAAACTATGGTCATACATTTTACCCAATATAAAAAGTAATGCATTCAAATTGCATTTCATTTTTATTTGTAGTGGTAAGAAAATTGGAAATAACTGAAAGGCCCATGACTAGGGAAAACGGTTAACTAAACCTTGGTGCCGGCATCCTGCAAAGAGCTGTTCAGTGACTCTGTTGCCCAGAGGGGGAGATGCGCTCACCCAGGACACGCGCTGAGCAGGAAGCAAGCTGCGGCATATCATGAGCAGAGTCCACGTACAAATAAGGATGCAGCGATCAACGGGCCCTTCTATGGTGGCAACTGTACGATTCTACTTGACGTGACTGAAAGATGGAATGATATGTCATATACATTAAATCTCAAGTTAAAAAAAAAACAAACATCAGGGGAGGGAACCAGGACTGGCAGAGGGGAGGGTGGCAGGTTAAAGGGCTTTTACCTTTACCTGTGTTGTTTGTATATTTCATGATAGTGGGTTAACACACTAAATGTGCATGTGTAAAATATACAGAAATGTGTGTCTGTACACACACACACACACACACAAATGGAGAAGGAGACAACTTTTTGCTGTCTTCTGGAAACAAGCAGGCGGGGGTGCAGGAGTGTCTGGGAGGCCCTCAGGAGGCTGCAGAGCTCCCTACCACCCCTCCTGGCTCTCACAGAAATCCATGCCACCAGCTGGGGTTCCAAAGACTATCACGGTGCACCTCGGGGAAAAGTCAGCTCACTTTCCCCTCCTCCACAAGATCTCCAAGCAACCTATGTGCCAGGCAGCTGGCATCTGGGAAGCATTAACTTGGGGCTTATAAACAAAGCTGGCTTGAAGGGTCTTTGGCAGTCAGAGCACAGCCCAGGGAGGACAACTCATACCCACAGCTCAATCTCTGCCAGCCAAGGGCCAGGAAGATACAACTACCGAGAGAGTAGACCTTAAAGCCAGAAACAAGCTCGGCAAGGCCTGTTGGCAGATGTTCCTCTTCTCGTTTCTTCGATGTCAGTGATAAATACGGTCAAGCTTCAGCACAAATGGGTAGCATTTCAGAATGTTCAACTGTAATCCCATGATCACCCCACTCCCCAACCCTTGCTGCTTCTGTCAAATCTCAGTGGCCAATAGGTGGCGCTGAACACACACACAAGCAGGGAGTCCAAGAACAAACCCTTTCAGCAGGGAGTAGGTCCCAAATGGGGTCCCTGGCCAGGGCCAACCTCACTTTCAGGGTAACTGGCTTCCCTCCCCAAGCCCAGTAGCAATCTCAAGTCAAGTGGCGAAGGTGCAACAAGTACAACTGTGTCATCAAGGCATCAATAAAGGCTTCCCAGAGGATGGGGAGGACCAGGCTGGGACACGGTCCAGCGGCTTCTTTCTGGGGGGAGCTTCTCAGAGCCTCTCTTAGACCAATGTGCACTGCAACCTTCCAGGAGAGGCTGGGGGGACACCTTACGGAGGCTCACAGGCCAATCGCGGACGGGGACCCCTTTCTCAGGGTCCGTGGTGCCCACCCAGGGAAGACGAGTCAACAGGAAGAGAGCAGCAGTCCTCAGGGAGGCCCCAAGAGGGGGTCCTACGGTGGGCAGCTCCTGCTTCCCTCTGGGTCCTCCCTAGCTTACTCCTCCTCTCCTGGGACGCACCTTAGGTTAGACCTCGGAATTACGGCCAAGCCCTCTGAGTGCCGTCAGAAGCACAGAAGAACATGTCTGTAAAACAAGGGCTGACCCCCAATAAATGAAATCCCAGCTATGTGCCCTTGTAGCTTGGGGCTCCCGCCCCATTCCCAGCAAGGCTGGCCTGGAATGCAGTGGTCCAGGCACCCTCAGCTCCCAGTGTCGTTCTTACCAGGACTCTCTCCTGAGGGGCCGCTGGTGGCTGTGGAACCCAGCATTACTAAATGAGTCCTAAGCTCTTCCAGAAAGAAAATCCTCCACTCTACGCCCCCTGCTTCTGCGAGCTGAAACTGGACACACAGTCAGTACCAAGAGCGGGGTTTCTCTCTCTCTTGCTGCTCATGCAGTTGAGGCAAAGAGGAACCTTGCCTCTAATCCCCAGGTATTGAAGGTTTCAACAAGAAATATGACAATATTGCTTAGATTCACTTCTGAAATCACAGGGTGATACTGTGTCATGGCTTCTGCTGGCAAGAGCTAGGGAGCCGAGAATCCTCGGGGGTCTGGAGGGGTAATGTGATGGCAAGCCGCCCACAGATGGGCAAAGGGTGCTACACAGGGGAGCCCAGGGTGAGGTGAGGCAGGATGTGGGACTCCTGACTTCCGGTCAGAGCCTCTCTCCAGAAGAAGCAAGCCTCAAACCACAGAGCTCTCAGCATAGTTATTCATCTTTTCTTCCCCTTTCCCAAGGCAGACTCAGGGACCCTCCTGGCCACTGGCAGGCAGAGTAGGGGAGTCCTTCCTCGCCTCTACTCGCCCAGCAGCTACGGGGGTGGGGGAGACAGCCCAGCAGCAGCTTCATCAACAAT